TTTGTACCGTGCGGGAAGGCGCATATTATTATCCCATATACATGCTGAAATTGGTTTTCTACACCGGCTGTGATAATGGAATTACAAGCAGTGCGGCTCTTCGTGATTGACCATGAACAAGATGATGTTAACGATTGCTTCACCGTGTGCGGACCAGTTTTCATTTTTCATCGCAATTGCTCCGTGTTCCTCGCAGTTGCTTTGTTGCATGTCTGCGGGGCGTCCCCGTTTCCCCCTCTTGTCAGAGTTATGAGTTGTCTCTCATTCACACTGTGATAATGGAATTAAAATCTTGTGTGTGTCCCTGTGGATAATGGAAAATCTACATGGCACCTTCCTTTCTTCGACTCCATTTTTTTTCGATTAATTTACTTCCTCTCCTGGAAGATGTGAACTGAGAAATGCAAATCTATATTGTTCGAATCTACAGAATTGACCAGACGGAGTCTGCAAGGACCCAGTTGAGCGACTAAACAATTTATCACCTGTGAAGGTCAAAAATATATCTTCGAGTGTTCAGACAACGTAGAAATATTAAGTTATATCTAAGCATTTCCCTTACTTTGTAAAAATAAAGAAAGTCCCTTTCCTAAAAGAAGATCAGAAATGATGTATGCGTACTGCTATCTCATATGCAACTTGCGGTCCTAAAGACCGTCCATTCATCATGCAGAATCTCAGGCTTTGGTCAAGCAGTTCTTATAAACGAGATTAGACAAAAACAAAGATTTTTAATACGTATTATGTGACATAAACCTCTTATACGTTACAATGGGACACCTGTTCATAAAACAACTAAAACAGACAAGCAACTTTTGATATCCAACGGAGATGCATTCGTCGAATTCGGAAACCCAATTAAATCTAGGAACGGTACCGTTCCACATGCACACAGAATATTAGTTCAACTGTTCTTTCCTTGTATTTTGCTTACCTTTTTGGCTGCTGGATCGAACTGCCTAACGTGCGAAGAGTGGGTGGGACAGTTCACGTTCCTTCTACTGTGGCAAAACAGGGTAGATTAGGTTGTTAACTCGCTCACGGACGTCAGGTAAAAATATCCCGGTGTTCTTTGGCTCGTTCGTCCCCGATAAACTCGAACTTGTCACGAGCCACTCACTGTTTTCTTTCCTGTATTCAACATATTGTCTCTTTTGCCCTGCTAGCAACATTGGTGGCATTGGAAGACGAAGTTGAATATCTAAGCGTCATGATAGCACTCCGCAAAATAAAGAGCCATTCCGGACAATTCTGAGTCAGAAACACAGTTACTGACTTGTCCATCGGTCAAAAAGCACAACAAACTATACCTCTTTGTAAAACTATTCGCGTTCATTCAGTTCCAAACGTCATGCCCTGGTGGACATTGGCTTTTTACATTTAATACGTTTAGATTCTCAGTTCAGCACGTTCAGTATATGCTTACGTAACTAGGCATCGTTTCCTACAAAGCATTACTACTTTGTATTTACCCTGGTGCTGAATGGAAATAGTTGTGTGCATACGTAGGTTTGGGCAAGAATAAGCCATTTGCGAGTTACATTTGAATAAAATCTGGTACACCGTGTTATCTGATTGCACATAAATATAACGATTTGAATTCCCCAGACTAAAGACACTGTTGCTATACGTCGTGATTCGGGGCAAGCTTTTGCTTAGCGACTACCATCTCTGGAATGGACTGGTTCCTTTGCGCCCTTCTTATCCATTGAGAACAGTTTATTGCTGCAAGGCATCTCTTATGTAACTAAGGAAAAGCTTGCTCCTAATCACGAGGTATAGCAACAGTGGTTTTAGTATGGAGAATTCAAATTGTTATGTTCACGTCAATTTAAAGAACTCAGTGGACCAGATCTTATTCAAATTTAACTCGCAAAGGCTTATTTATTTGACTCTCGGCAATTTCAGCCCCTTTCTCTTCCCCTTGAATAAAAAACCTTGTGACCGCATGTTCCAAGATAAGGCTCGAAATGAGGCTTATCGGGTGCCTTGTGCAGGCTGATGTTGAGTCATACTCAACAATTAATGGATCCAGAACAAATGTTTTCAGTGGGCCAAGTTTTTGATTGGGGGTGGGGGGAAACCTGGGAATTTCTTAATTCAATCTTTCATGAGTGAGGCTAAATTGTCATATGCTTTATGGGAAGGAAGGGAAGTGACACCATTCCGGAAAATCGCCTTCCTCTTAATGTACTGAAAAAAAGCTTCGTCCCTTCTTGGGGGAGGGGGTGGTGGTCCCCGTTCAACCCCCTTTGAATCCGCCAGTGGTCATATGCATAAGGCAGGGGAAATTGTACCGCGTGACTGGATAAAAACCTTAAGGAACAACGCTGCTTTGTTCAAGCAACTCACTTGAGCTGGAGTGCAGTGGCGTCGGTATGCAGCGTCAAAGTCGAGATTTAAGGTTCCTAATCATGAGTTCCAGTTCAGCCTGTAGACTGAAGTTTTTGTGCCCTTTTTAATGGGTGACATACTTTGCCATTATCGTTACCTTCCTTAACCCTTTTGTAAAAGTTCAGTACCTGCGAAGGCAGAGACGGTGATTTTGATTCATTTACCTGTTTGACCGGGTCTTACCAGGGCAGTGGGCGGGACTTTGCGTTTCCGCTGACTGCCTCCAAACGGCACTGCGAAGTGTCACGCGATTTCTATGAGGTCTATGAATAAACAAAAGAGGGTGTCTTTTTATCTGGTAACGGATTCCCTTTGACCAATAAACAGGGACTAACATTTGAACATGGCAAGTGTCGGGTCATCCTTCCCTTAGCTTGGTATACGTGCATTTTATTATTGTCGTCTGTTCCTAGTCCCTACAGCATGGTTCCAAAGAGAATTCTAATGGACGCGGTAACCAACCGTTCCGCCCAAGCTTCTCCGTGTTCCCCCCGATGGGGTTGCTGAATGGAGCGTCACCACTTTCATCAGCGGAACCGACAGCTTAGCATTCAAGTTCCACTTCTGACTTGAACATAGTGATGTGAGTCGACACTGGGCGAGTGCTTAACTATATTGACAACACACAGCATCCCATGTTTTCCACATCTTTGATTCAAGTTAAATAGAAATCCCTTCGGTCGACGATTCCACAGATTTTCCATTATTTTCCATTTTGATCTCCATCTAGGTGGGGCATTTTGACACCATAAAAGACTACAGGGACACTAGTTTCTTGTCTTCTCAACAGTTGTCTTCAGACGTCGAGCTCATTGCGAAAATTGTCACACAAATCAATATGAATATGCCTCCATTTGAACGGCGAAAATTTACTCCGCTCTCCACAAATCTGAGCACACGCATTCAGGAAAGCTCACATCACTGCATGCGATTTTAAGAAGTGAACTACAGAACTGCGTTATAGGGATACCGTTTGCATTGATGTTGAAATTTCCATCTTGATAGCTAACAAACAATAATAATTCCAATCGTGTTAAAATTTTTGTTTGCAGAGCATTCAACGAGAGTACTTATACATGCAATCATTAGTCAAAGTAACTCCCAGCACCATGCTGAGACTTATTTTTCACTTATTGGTCAAAGAAAAGGCTAGCGTTACAAAATTTGGCCAGGTTTTTGATCCTAAAGGATCTGTCACAGAACCTTACTTTGAACGATGCATTCTTGTCCCTGGGCACGTTTTAACTGTCCAACGAAGGCATCACTGAAATTGGAAAATGCTGGACCGAATCGAATTCAAATTTCATTGTCAACACAACCTCGAGATAAGTCTTACACGTTATCGCTGTGAGTGTGCTCTCCGAGGAGATTAATTTTCAAGGAACCGTAATTTCCTCGTCGTGCAATACTTTCCCCGACTGCGCTCGGGCAATTCATTTATCACTCGGAATCAAATGAACTTTAGCGACGGGCAACCCGCACCAAATGTCTCTCCAAAGCTATGAGTATAAATTGAGGAAAAATAGTTTAGTTCGAGTGATCAGAGCAATGTACAGAGTGAGTTCGACAGTCGCTCGAATAATGTTATTCGATTGTGGGACAAAGCGCCTCGAGTACACAAAGAAAGGTAAATAAAACTTGAGGTCACAAAATCATTCTTTCGAATTTGTGACGTCAGATCGAATATTCGCAATGCGAATTCGCAAAAGTTGAACACATTTCAACTCGAGCGAAATATGCTGCAAATTTATCAAGTTTTCCAATTCACTGCACATTCGCCCATCGTGCGAACGGGCCTTGAGGTTGCAATCAAATGGTAAGTTTGGAACTTTTCGAATTCAAATTTGAATCCTATATTTCTACTGGTTATTTCATGTCTATCCAAGATCAGGACTGGAATAGCCAGTTTTCAATATAATAGAGGTCAATTAAAGAATAAGAAATTAAAGAATTTCACTACAGGCCAGTTTATGCTATACAGGCAAACGTGAAAGCGGAGCGAAATTATTGTCGTGAAAGATTTACCACGATGTTTCGCTGGAGTTGAAATGTGTTCAACTTTTGCGCATTCGCAGCGCGAATATTCAGTCTTGTGTCACCAATCCGCGTGAAGAATGAACCGGCTTTATGGCCATAAAATTGCACCAAAGGTCATTTGAGTTAGGTGATAGCCATCATGCACCTTCAACATGCATACCCGTGTAGAAATTAATGTAGAAGGACACAGATTTGGCACAGCTTAACTGACTCAGACCATTGAAGAACATTTAAATCAGGTCACTTGAATCACGCGAAAAGTCTGCTATAGCGAGTCCAAAACATGAAGCAAGTCTGATGAAAAGTCCCAGATTTCCCGTAAGGATTAAAAAATTAATTCATGTCTTGCTCGGTTGCGAGTGGGCGACAATTATAGCCATTTCATTGAATAGTCGCCTGAATTTAGTTTCCGCTTCACCTCAATGATATATGCACCAAGTCAGCAGATGTTTGGTGGCCTGTACAAAATTATTTTCCACAGAAAAGTCCTTTTATAATTGAACTCTGCTGTGACTTTCACAGGTCGCACGACCAAGGAGTGATATTCAGAAACTGAATTCGGTATCCTATTTTTTTTTTTTTTGGCTTTGGTTCAAAACTATCAATTATTAACAATAGAATCCAGTCAATTAATGCACAATGTGGATGGAACACCTGCTTCCGTAGAGGTTAAGTACGGGTTTAACATGAGAGTGGTGACAGGTTGGCTCTGCATATAATACATTCGCTTGCCACTGCAAATCCGCACAATTCTGACACACTGAATATTTTCATCTCATCTGGACTGGTGATGGCTCATATGACGTGGTCTTGCATCAGATGAGCAACCAGTACAGCGAAGCTACGTTCATTTCAGGAGGCATTGTTGAAGCACAATAACTCTCATTTTGACATATCATTTGATTTTCCACTCGGATAAGGATATCACCGGTTCAAGCTCCTGAAATGCCCTTAAGTGCTAAGATGCAAAGCTACCTGTACCAGTTGTTGTTCAAACATTACGTTGAAAATGGTGACCGTAGGCCTAATATCGCTGTGTTCTCCATATTCCCTTGAGTGGTGCACGATCTGGATAGCCAGTGAAACTAGACGTGACTGTTTTCAGAGTGAACTTACATCATACCATCACCTCTATTATTAAACATTTTTAAATGGCAATTTTTATAGTGGTAAATATGGCCCTGTGTAAATTCCATCAGTGTAAGCCTCGATGCTGCCAGGTTTCAAATCGAATTGGAAAGCTGTCTTGGTTGTTAAGTGACAACAGACAGTCAAAGACATACGGCGCTTCAAAAGGGTAAAAAAGAAGTGCTTAATCAAGCGAACAATAGTTTTGGAGAAGGCCCATCCTCAGGAAGATTGATGGAAAGGGCAAGTGCTTAATATAGCGTTTTGAAGTCCAATTTAACAACTGCATTGTCATTGGATTATTTTGTCAAGTGGCTCAAACTCAAAGACAGCGATCTCTTGGAATCTGACACCTAAGCGAAACGTAAAGTTGCAGAGCAACTGTATAGTCAAGTAGGCCTATTATATCGCCACAAACACTTAGACCTTGGCAGCCCAGCTCATTGTTCTTAAAGCGCCTACTTTGTTCGACAAAGGTGAAAGTTCTCAGTTTGGAAAAAAAGTAGATTCGAATAGTTTTCCAGGGGGATTAGGCCCGTCCCATTTTTTAATGTCCCATCGTTACAGACAAACGGACACATGCACTATCTTCATACAGGTAGCCATGTTGCCTATTGATAAGGCTCACTGTGAGCATGTATCAACCCTCATAGGATGCCATCTTTTTATTATTACTATTCACCTTCGTGTGTGTCAGAGCGAAGGGGGGGCTGGATCAGTGCCAACTTAAGATGAGGCGCAGATATTGGCAAGCGAACCAAATCACAGGCTTTCGAAACGAGATATGCCCCTTACACTATCAACGTCTGGCCACTTGATCATCACCAAGCCAACCTATTCGATACCTATCTGATCATCCGTTAACTCATATAGCTTCTTGAATGATAAAGTCTGTATGCACTTTTCCTAGCTATGGATGAATTAAGCGTAATTATACAAGTACTGCTTCACGTCATACCAACTTGTCAAACCACACACGATTGCAGGAATACGAATTCCGCTCTAGTGTTGACTTAAGAAGTACATGCATAGACATCAGGCATACGGGCTAATTACACGATGCCTCCTACGACGCATGCCAGCATACTTGTCGATACTTAACGCGACCCGACAGATGATTACATTGTCACGACGTCAAATCACCGCCGATAACATATAAGTCAGAGTCACTTGACGCATTCATCTTTCAGCCTTCCCACGGAACTCTGGCGGTAACTGCATGGGGAGATGATGTACTCGCACTGTGAAGAGCAGATTATGCATTAAGGAGGACTCGACGGGGCTCTCGAGACACGACACCGAGACGTCAGCGGAGCATCCTCTCATACACCAAGACATGCTCTGCAGTGAGGAGACAAAGGACGGGCACAACCCCATTTCTTTAAGTGGCATGATTAATTTGCCATTCATGACCATGCTCGAAACCGGACTTAACCTAATGGCAAAATGTCACTCGTTTCAGGTCTTGCATTCTCTTCAGAGTCCCAAAGATTTGCAACCTTTACATCGAGCACAATTTAATAATCCTCAGGAACCTTTATGGAAGAAGAGGAACAGATAGCTTCATATTTTAGAATAATGCGTTTTGGACACTGTCGTTGATACACTAGTAGGCCTAATGTCAATCTCATTGAATAACCAAATTCCACCTTTGATATCAAACACTGTCCATTACAATTTCATGTCGGAAACAATCTAGGTTATCCTTAGTTGAGAAGACTGTTAAAATGCATAAATCATTCAGTCTCTCTTGTGCCTCCCTGTCTGTTTGGGAAATATCCAAAAGATGCTGTCAGCGTATGACCTAGCGATGTACAGCTGACTAGGAAGAAGGGTCACGACATTCTCTGCATCAAAGTTTTTCACTCGCTGCAAAGTAGGGTGGACCTAGCCTCACGCTATACGGAAATAGCATTGTTTTAAAAATATCTGCAAACGACGCGTTGTACGGTTCTGATATATAGGGTGTGGAAACGTCCAGTTAGGCTACGCAGTGAAAAAGACAACTGAAGAATGGTCGGAACATTATGCTGCCACCCTATAGAAACAGAATGTGCAAGCGGGAAACAAGTTAAAATTAACTAAATTAATGGTGTAAAGACTTTATAGTTCACATACGAGTTGCATACGCTGGGTAAAATAGATACATTTGCTGACAGTTTCTTCTTGGCTGCAGTCAACTTCTCAACAGTGACTTTTCACGAACAAAATCCAACACTGGCCGTATTGAACACTCGAGATCATGCATGTGGCAACATAATTATTTGGTTAAATGTCGCCCCCTTGTTAAGTATCGATACTAGCTAAGCCAACTGCGAGTCACCTCAAGACATCCGGCAACGTCGTAAGTCCGTGTAAAACAATACTTTGAAAATTGGATTCCCATCTCTAGTATCCATATTTACTGACTCAGTTTTAGGTAAATGTATAACATGAGGCCTTTTCCGTCCCCCAAGGGAAAGCGACACATTTTCATGATTATGGAAGATGTGCTATCGGCTATCCGGTGTCGATATTCGGCGATATGTGAGAGGGCTGGGTAGGTTCCTGCAATATTTTCCAGCAGCATATCAGACAGACCAGACAACAGTATTGCACAGAAGCGTTACACATGCACAAATTCATATAGAGAGGTGTCACTCTGAATGCAGTCTGCATCGAAGAAAATTAACATTTGACTGTCGATTCAGATCGCCCAGACTGGGTTTAACGAGCCATGACATCTACCACAGATGGCTACGATCGAGGAGTGGTTCTGCGGGTAGGACGTGAGAACTGTCAGCCTCGTTATAAAAACACACTCCCCAAAGGCCCCAACCTATTCCCTCAAGTTGGTTTTTTGTCTCTTCCTGGGAAAAAGTCAGAAGGTAAGTAAATTATTTCCCAACCTAACCGAAAACGAGAATATATGAAAACATTTTCTCAAGATTCCAAAAATCAGGTCCTGTAAAATAGATAACTCATTATTGCGAGTAGTGGCTGTTATTGCTATTTTTTTACGCGGGGCAGTGCCTTACCGGCGCGGACTGTCGTTATGTCAACATATTACCTGGACGGGATTATGCTCGCATTTTCTGGCTCAATATCCCTCTCCATGACGGTGCCCTATTTACGGTGTCATGTTGCGTGTTTACATTTCTCTCTGTGATTCGGGTACCAGCCGTTTGCAATATGCATCGTTTCAAATCCTCCAAGGACTCTGACCCGCAAAATTGTGAAAAGCTAAAAAAAAAAAAAGGAAAAAAAAAGAACTCCCGCCAGTTTGCTTTAAAGGGCCTTGAAATGACTATCAATTTGAGAAACTCGTGTGCACGTGAACAGGGAAAATTGGGAGTTTTCAAATAAATCAAACTCAACGGCAAAACCCTTTAAGAATATCGCTTCAAGCCAGGGTAAACTTCAAACCAGAAAACGTGTGAGGCCTTTGTGTACTATTTGAAATAGTTTTGTTCGATCAACAGCGTGCAACAAATGATTTTCAGCGGTCACCCTTGATTAAAGAGAAGTTTCTCAATTTTGTCAGGCTTCCCAAAGAAAAGCAAAACAGACCCAGCCGAACTGTTAGGGTACGTAACGTATCAGCAAGCGACATACACTGTTCTTCTCCTATAGTCAGCACTGAAAAATCCACGCTTCTTGATTTTTCCTCTTTGTGTCCAGTTGTAAAACTCCCTTCAATTGATTGAACTGCAACTGCTGAAATGAAAGGATTAAACAAAACAATTATTTCAAAGAAAAGTCGACTTCAGCGTATACTTTCAATCATGTTCGTGTGCCACTTGGAAACCATTGGATTTATTCTTGTACACAAGCTGATTTTTCTAGTGGAGGAATTAAAATGGGATCATTCTGAAAACAAAAGTAAACAAACAAACAAACAAAACAAAGAAAAAAAAACAGAAAAGAAAACAAATCGCCATGTCAGTTGGTGAAATGAAATGACAATGCTCTTCAAACAGTAAGTTAATTAAGTAAAGTTATTTTCAAATATTGACGTCCATAAATATAAACACTGCGCTTTTAAACAACCAAACTTTCTAAATAAAACTACACAAAATCTGTTCCAATAGAATTTACAAATGATAAGGAAGTCACCCATTATTGACAACCGCTACAGAATGTTACTTTCAGATAAAGACACAACCCCGTGGAAATTTCAAACCATGAAAGCAAGTATTGCACTTACATTTAATAAAAGCAAACCAATAAATTATTCTGAAATTGGCACTTTGAAAAGAGTATGTTTCTCAAAATGAGTACCGGTAATTAATTGTGGCAAGAAGATTAATCAGAAACTAGCCATTTCATTTGCTTCACGCATCGTTGATTACAGTACCCTGTGATGTTGGTCGGGCAACGTTACCATGATGCCGTGAAACGCGTTTACATTGACCATAATTGTTGATATAAAAAGGTTTTAGCCAAGAAACTTGCAAAACATTCGTTTGATGTAATTGTGGCATGTGCATCTGAACACGAAATGATTAATGAAATGAGCAAAAATTTGCCAATTCGTGGATGTATACAAGGTAGACAGTGCAGAAGACGAGGACATCTCGCTGAAAACTTGACTAAATCAATTCTGTAATACCTTTGAAACAGACAGACGTTCACTCGAAGACCTATTCACATTACAACATAAACTGCACATTAAAGTCGTGTTTCAGTGTGCAAGCCAAGACGGTTCATGTAACGGTGTCATACATGTAGTATGCAGTGAGTAAAATCCAGACTACGGGACGAATGTACATGTATCAAAGACACGTCATTGTCTAACATCAGACTGTTGTGCATATTAGAAACTACGATTTTATGAGGTGTGTGTTATATTACAAAGACTGCACGTACGGGCAATGATGGTCTGCCTCGCGGACATACCCACCGACGTAAACTGTACATGTACACCTCTGTTAGTTTGTCGTCAGTGTTGTTGAACCAGTGTTGATGGTGGCTTTCAGAGTGTTCAACACGTCGGTCGCCCTGTGAAGAATAACAGACTGCTTCATAACAGTTTGTATTGACTGAGTCGCAAAAAATGGAGGCATCTACAGCAGGGAAAGGCAGTGTAGGATGCCCATAACGTATAAATTGCTGCAGGTTCTTTCCTGGAGAACTGAATGTTACCCTTTGGAAAATTGATGTCCGCCAGCTGCTATTGAATGTGATGTACACGTATTATGTTTTCATGCAACCAAGTTTCACGAGGCAAACGTACATTCAAGAAAGGGTGCAAGCGTGACAAGTATTACACTCTCTTTAAGCGAACGACTGCCAGAAATGTTACAGTTCAAGAGCTGGACGGTTTTGTGTGCCGGTCTTAATGAGCTCTGTGGGACATTGTAGTAGTGTCGGTATAATATCCGCCGTGTGCGTGTGTGCGTATGGGGAAGGGGGAACTTAAGAGACAGCCAGAGGCTTCGATCGGAAAGAAATCATTGCACATGCATTTCTGTGTCACGATACCGATGTCGACGACATTTTCCATTCCCCGCGGTTGAAAGTACATGCTATTTAACATTTTTATCTTTTGACACCAAAGTGTTTTCCTAAGTGTCTCCAATCACGTACGTTGCAGTGGCACAGTCCTGAAGCTGATGGTTATCGATGACGGTGTAATAAAATGGCAATATAAGTGTTTTCACTGGATACATCGTGATTTTGATCACTTGAAAGCCCAATGCCAATGGCATGTTCTGAACAGCTAGGCAAATGTACTGGCTCTGTGATCAGTGTGTGTGTAATATGCAGTCATGCGTGTACATTACTTGCTGTTCAGGTCCACGTTTTTCATTGGACTTGCTATAAAATGATAACACTGATTTCTCGTTGATGAAAACTATTACTTTTTTTAATACGTGTTTTAATGCTAATCTCATATTGTACACTGGGGAGGTAATTTTCGTGCTTTTTATGTTTTAAGTATGACAATAAATCTTGGAATCTTGGAACAAAATGTACGACAAATGTGAAACACGTATGAGTTTCACAATAATTCTTTGCTATTTTGCAGCCCCTGAGGGCAAGAAGGGCGATTGTGATGTGGAAACAAGTTCTGGCAGTACTATTACGGTACGTTAAACTACCGGTACCTTCGAAGATGCTGTTGATGTCAATTTTTGTAATGGTGTCGGAAAACATATCATTGAGCTTTAAGTGACATAGATAATACCAAATATACATGCATTATGTGTGAATATGGGCTTCCTAGTTCACTTGCATAAGCATACCAAGTGTTGCATTATAGCTAGTTGCACATCAGCTAGCCCGATGTTCTGCCGGTGAGAGTGAACTATATCCTATACAGATTGGCTGATGACATCCACCGTCAATGTGGGGGGGGGGTGGATTCAAAAGGTCCTCATAGGTATCATCTTTGCACTCAACTACTTACTGTTCATTTGGTGCAATGAATTCAAATCAGGCCACCTTACTGGAGTCGTTACTCCTCAATTCCTTCTGAAGCGGATCATAAACTTTCCAAATGGAAAAGTCAAAGCGTCATACGAGACAGTATGACGCACAATTTGGTAAGAGGAAGGGTTTTGTTTGTTTGTTTGTTTTTTGATGAGCTGAATATTCTCCTGTAATTATTGGTATATCTATGTCATTACTCTAATATGCACAGCGGTCAAAACATATTTGCATGTACAGAGAAATGAATTACAACATAAATGTATGCGATACACGAACTGCATCAAAAATATATGTACAGGTTTTTTTTACTTGAAAGCCCATCTTTACTCCGTTTGATCTTTGGAGGAATTCTTGCAAACGATTTTTCCGATGACCCTACAGCTGGTAAGTAGCAGGATCCCAAGCACGATTGCTAGGACGACGGCCTTAATCACGGCGAAAGACGACAGGGGAAAGGCTTCATTGCTGCGGACGTGGCTGTCCTCCCCGCCCGCGCTCACGGGGAAGCTCGTGGTGGAGGTGGTGTCGTTGGGCAAGCTAAAGTTACCAGGATAATCCGGGGAGGTAGTGGAGGAGATGAGGTAGTCCAGGAGGCGGCTGGGCGAGGAGGGGGAACCGGCGGACGGCGACTCAGTCGGCACCGGCGGTAAGTCGCGGCGGTGGAGCCGGGTCAGTCTCCGCAGGAACTCATCCATCATTGATTACGCCGGGGGATCGGAGGAAGGAAGGAGGGGAAAGAAGAGGGCTTGACACGGGTACTTCAGAACTGCCAATCAAACTTCACACCACGTGGAATTCCAATAGGTTCCTGCTGATGCCTGCTGTTATCTAATATGATCAGTCAAGAAAGACAACAGCGTGAAAATTAAATGCAAACACTTCTGTGGTTTCCCGAATGCACCGTCAGTCAGATCAATAGGGGTTACGTGAAACGTTATAGAACCTAACACAGTGCCGTAAACATATACAGTGTAGTTCAGTTGATAATGCAAAATTGCACGGATAGACAGAAACAATTTTTACACTGAAAGTGTGCAAACTGTTAGTCATCAAATCCCGTCAATGACCGGTGGTTGGGGAATTACCCGTCCTGATGTGGGCGAAAGCTTCTCCCGTCTAAAGAGCATCAAAGCACGGCTCCTTTGCTGGGTAGCTTAATGTGGGTCACTAACGTTAAACAGCTGAGTTCATAGAATTTTTTCCCGCGCAGCAGACGACGTTCATCTCTCGCTGGAAAATTTACTTCTGCGTGGGATTGCCGTAAGCCATGAAAGTGTTAACCACACACGTGTCTGCAACGACTACTCTTAATGCGACGCCTGCATCGGTCAAGGCGAAGCCAAGTTAAGTGGCGGGTGACACAACCTTATCCCGCCTTTTTCGCACCTTCGGAATTTTCCAATCAGAGTGAAACAAGGAAAGAGCTGAAATCACTGATGAGTTAAATCCATCAGCAAAACAACGACTTGCCTGGCATGTCTGCTCTGTAAGTGGGCAATGTGTTTGCGATGATTAAAGCCGTCATGGTGTCGGCACAGACACGGGTGCCTCGTCTCCGCCGCTCTGAAACGGCGTTGTTTGGTTGAAGATGGTGCCTCGCCCTGTCGCCCAGCTCACTGGTTAGACAGCTCGTACGGGTCTGTTCGGCTGCGGAACGACAGGAAAATGAGCAGTAGAATTGGCTTGTTTACGGCTGGCTGGTTCACCGAGGAGATGTATAATTGGCAGACGAAGCTACAGCCTCACTGCTGTCTGTCTGCTGGCCCACACTACGCCGGGGTCAAATCGGCACGGCACAGTAAAAATGTGTGGCTGCTGCTCGCTGACATCCAGATAGAGTGCAACGGCTGAAGATCTCCCCAGGATCAGAGCAATTGAGACGATGCAACACTGCAAAAGTTGAGCAATTTGGGCGGGATTACGGTGACCTACAAAATAATCAGCGCACGCAGCATCAGCTGTGCTCCGTGCCCCAGGGACTCAATTCAAAACCTATAGTCCTTTGAACCCGGCTGGTCCACGTGCAAAGCTCGGCCTTTTTTAATCAGTCGTCCCAGCGATTGTGCATAATACGTCTTGCGAGATCAACGACGTGGATACTACATACAGGACAAAGGCTCACTTTCAGGTACCTCATGAAAGGTCACGTTAGGTATAAACCGAGCCGGCATCCTGCCGAGTTGCACGGTGCATCTGCAGGTGGAGATGTCATATTCGATGTCAGAAGGTTGTCAGAGATTCTTTCAGCAATCTCGCCGCCCAAGCTCACCTGTCAAGCGCTC